GGTATTGGCGGTGACATTTTTTTATCTTGAGTTTGCAAGAATAGAACATTTTCACTACTGTAGCGCAATTTCAAGGTACTTTTCGTCATGAAAGCAATAAAAATCATATCTATTTCTGTAATATATTTTTCTTTTCTATAAAATGGCCAAAAAAAAAATGGAATATAACCATAAAAACCATACAAAAATTCCGCTAAGCGGCTGTAATGGCTGAGAAGCGAACTCCGCATTTAGGTCTGATTTCTTTCATTTTGGTGTACGTAAAGAAGTATCTTTCCTAAATTGCCCAAGTTTGAATAAGATAACCCAACAAACAACTGGAAAATAAAAATAATAATAATAAAAAATATCTGTTTACTACATGTACTGAAACAAAAAAGGTATAAGGCCTATGCATCATAAGTAAGTAAGTTTATTCAGGTAACAAAATCAGTGGACGCTGCATACCGTGGCACCACATAGCGATTAATCCCATACCGCTTGCTTTAATCGCAAAAATTTTGCCTCGCATACCGTTAAAAACCCTCACCGATTTTGTCCCAGACGCGTCCAATGTGCGCCCTACCGCCTCACATTTCCGCCCGTGCCATGTTTACCCGCCGCTCCCCGGTAACATCCCCAAACATAAATGGAATTTCGTATTTTTACGTGTTTTTGGGCTGTTTCTGGAAAAAAAGTGACCATGGGGCCCAAAAAAGCTTCTAGTGCCAACCCCTTCACCAATAAAGGGTGGAATTCCAATAGAAATGAAAAAAGAGATCTTTTATAAGTATGAAAGTGGAGTGCGTTCGCCGACCGGTCGGTTTTAAAAGGGAAAACCCCCTCAAACCCCGCTACTATTGTGGGCACCAGAAAAGGGAATCAAGGAAACTGTTCTTGCCAAGGTTTAACTGTGTTTTCGAAAAAAGATCGCAAGTGATGGAAATGTTGAGAGACCTTATTGGTGTGGATAAAATGAAAAACAGCTAGCAGGAGAAGATCCCAACGATATAGGGAAAAAGGGTAGGGGAAATTGCATAGGATTTAATTAAAAAAATGCCCGCAACTAGTGATGATGGGGTGAATTTTAAAGGGCCCGCAAAGGTTGGTTTGAGAGATTTAAGAAGCGTGTGGCATACATAGTTGATAAGCATTGGGGGAGGCTGCCGTTCGGACCCCCAAAGCGGGGGAAAAAATGTGCCGTATTCAAGGGTACATAAAGAAGGACTGAAACCTGAAAGTGTTTAATTGTGATGAAACAGGCTGTTTTGGAAGAAAATGCCAAAGAGGCCCTATTTTATCAGGGGGAAAAAAGGCACCCCCAGGACATAAACCAGAAAGCGGCTTTTTTTTTGATGTGTTCCAATGCTATGGGTTGCAAAGTTAACCCTTTTTTGTGATCCCCTTGAAACTCCCAAGCTTTCGGGCAAAAGAATGTCCTCAAGGAGAATTTGTTTGTGCGTGGAGGGAAAACAGAAAAGGGCAGGGGTCCTGGGGACTTTTTCTATAACTGGTTACCCCAGCTTTTCCCCCCAATGTAAAAGTTCCCAAACTAAAAAGAAATTAGAATTAAGTGCCTCCTGGTGTTAGACAATGCCCCTGGTCTTTCCTACAGCGTGGCAGAGCGACTTTAGGGGGCATGAGTTTTCATTAAGGTAAAAGTTTTTGCCTCCAAATCCCCTCCTCCCCTGCAGCCCTGGACAGCAGGTTATTGCAAATTTCAAAAAAACTGTCACCTCTGTTTAAAAGGGTGCTTTGAGTGACCTCGAAACTCAACTGACTCAAGAGAGTTTTGGAGAGAGCATTTAATATCCTAAATTTGTGAAAACCCTTTAAAAGGAAAGGGTTGGGAGGAGTACTAAGAAGACCTTGAACCCTTGTTTGGGAAGAAATGTGGCCAGAATGTGTAGAAAAAAGGGATTTTAAAGGGTTTTGAGGCTAACCCGAGAGGTTATGCCATTGAGGAACCTTGTGGCATTGGGAAAGTCCTTGGGGTTGGAGGTTAGTGGGGGGATGTGAAGATTTGGTGGAGGGGGAAATGAAAAACTAACCACTGAGAGCTGATGATCAACTTCAAGAGAAAGGGGCCCAGACCGAGAAAACTGGTTCAGGGAGGGGAGAGAAAAAATTAAAAGAAGTTGCCTACTACAAAGATAAGGAAAGTGTGCAAAGTGGCTTGAAGTGCAAAACCTTTTTTTAGAAAATCACCCCACACAGCTATTGCAAGCCGTGTTGGCAACCGTCACTGCAAAGTTTTACAACACTTTAGGGAGTCTAAAAGGGAAAGAGAGGTACAGGCCACTTGGACAATATGTTGTGCGAAAGAAGGCCCGTGACTTGAAGCTGGTCCTAGTGGCATTAAAAAAGAAGGGAAATAACCCAAAAAAAACTCGACACCCCAAATCTTAAGGAAGGGGGTTCCCCCTTTTAAACACTAACACCCCTCTCCCCTCCCCCCATCCCATCAATCATCACCAGATCTTCAATAAAAAGTAAGTGTCATGTAAAATGTGCAGCCTTTTTCAGTTTGTTGTACTAAAATTAACATTTATGTGGGAAAAAAAATTTTTTTTTCTCTTTTGGGTGTCTTGCATGGATTAAATTTATTTCCCTTTTTTCTTATGGGGGAAAAATTCATTCAAACCCCATTATTTTTCATACAATTTCCCCTCTTGCCGGGTTTAAAAACGGTAAGCGGGGGTCCACTGTACGTTACATAGAATTTCATACGTAGCGCATATGTGTAGGAAACCCAAATAACCAAAAAAGTCAACAAGGGACTTTTTTCCATTGGGGTCCTTTTTCCTTTTTAAAATTAAATAATATTTATATAATACAGTGGAACCCCCGTTAACGATATTTTTCATCCAGAAGTATGTTCAGGTGCCATTTACTGCCCGAATTTGTTTCCATAAGGAAATTGTGAAGTAGATTAGCCCATTTAGACCCCCAAACATACACGCACAAACGCATTTACATAAATAATTTTACTAAATTTGGTCGCTTCGGAGTGATCGTTTATGCGGGGTCCATGTATATTATAATATAAAATTCGGAGTGGGGAAAATTTTAGGAGAAGGTGTGGATTTTAATAAAAGTATTAGTCAGAGGGCAGAAGAGGGGTTGTTGAGGGGGTTTTGGGTTTCATTTAGAGAGAATGGATCAAAGTAGAATGACATGGAAAGCATATAAATCTATGGGGGAAAGGAAGGCGGGGAGGGGTCTTCCTCGAAAGGTTTGGAGAGAGGGGGTAAAGGAGGTTTTGTGGGCAAGGGGCTTGGACTTCCAGCAAGCGTGCGTGAGCGTGTTAGATAGGAGTGAATGGAGACGAATGGTACTTGGCCCTGACGATCTGTTGGAGTGTGAGCAGGGTTAATATTTAGTGAAGGGATTCAGGGAAACCGGTTATTTTCATATAGTCGGACTTGAGTCTGGAAATGGGAATTACAATCCCTGCACTTTAAAGGAGGGATTTGGGATATTGGCAGTTTGGAGGGATATGTTGGGTATCTTTATATGTGTATGCTTCTAGACTGTTGTATTCTGAAACACCCCTGCAAAAACAGTGGAAATGTGCGAGTGTGGTGAAAGTGTTGAATGATGATGAAAGTATTTTCTTTTTGGGGGTTTTCTTTTTTTTTTGGGTCACCCTGCCTCAGTGGGAGACGGCCGACTTGTTGAAAAAAAAAAAATGTTATAATTTTTTTCTTATTATTCTATAATGAAGATAACATCTTATTATCATACTAAAAAGACTATCTACTACACGTGGGTCATTAAGGGCTATCTACAATACGGTGACATACTACTGTATAAAAGGCACTTGTTATGCTGAGTATTTCAAGAAAATTAGGTCAGTGTCCCAGGATAAACACCCACACTAGTCGATAACACCCAGGTACCCATTTACTGATGGGTAAACATAGAAACAGGTGTAAAGAAAAACGCCTAATTTTTTAACCCTGGATGGGAATCGAATATTTACCAAAAATCATATATGACTAACCCAATCCAGGTACTAAAATAAGCCACATTGACTTTTTTGGGGTTATCCTGGGTTTCTACACATAAGCTGCTGTGTGTGATAATCTATAGAGAGAAAAATAACTTTTTTGTTTCATGTTTATGGTGGAGTACGAGTGTATATCATAGCCTGTGCTATACTCCGTTTTCTCTAATATAAGACCAAGACAAGGATAGGAGAATGGTATTTGTTTACCATATCCTCTTCATAACTCTGTCGAATGCTCGGTGTTATGCCAAATATTATTCATTCTGGAGTATTTAACATTTTTTTATGTTATTTATATTGTTTCTTATGTCATATTAGATCAATTGTGATAGGCAGATAAGCTGTAGTTTTTGATATTAGCGTAATAATAAAGCATATTCTACTGCTTCATGAGACTAAGCTCATGACAACCCACAGTGGCTTCAAAGCCACCTTATTTTTTAATGGATAATGTACTGTGTAGGTTGCTTTACATAATGAGAAGCATTTCTTTTATTCATTGGAACTATGGCTAGGGCTAAAAGTAGCAGGTTAAACAAAAAAATGGGGAAAAAGAAATTGGAATGACTTATGCAGCAAGTATGCCACCAAACAGCACCAGCAGGTTGGTGTGGCGACCCTGGAAATTTGAAATTTTGCTAGCCAAAATTAGTGCCGAATAAAAATGAAGGAACCGAATAACTGATTGCCGGATTTGTGATGACGGACCTGTATATTTACTATATCACACAGGATTCCAGTGTATATTTGTTTCTCAGACTGAAACATTTGGGCTCCTTTTATGCTCCAAACTAGTGCTGAAATGAAAATCAGGGCAAACACTGTCTGCTCCTCCAATAAACTGCCACCTATATGCCTGTTTCCAGTCCAAAAAATAAAAGGATTTGGGGGTCCAATTTTTTTTTTTTTTTTTTTTTTTTTTTTTTTTTTTTTTTTAGTCAAGTTTAAACCATTTTGAATCATTAAAGGCAAATCTTCACTCACATGCATTTTTTTTTTTTTTTTTCAGTGTATCTGAAGACTGACCCTAAGAAGCTTTATAAACGTATTAAGGAACGATCCCGGTCTGAAGAGCAGGCAATTCCTTTTCAGTATCTGGAGGCCCTCCACAATTTACATGAGGGCTGGTTAACAGAGAAGAAATATCCTCTGCCAGCTCCTGTATTAGTCCTGGATGCCAATGACAACTTATCTACCATGTGAGTTGCAATACTTTTTTATGCTCAAACTGTGTTGTAGGGGTTAGGCTTGTATGTACAGTGGAACTTCAAAAATCGAACGTATTACATATCGAACCTTTCGAAAATAGAACCATTTTTTCGGACAAACTGTGTCCCTATTATCGAATGCGCCCTATTTTCGGACCGCCGGGTACGGGACCTGTCTGCCGACTGCTCTGTCCGCGTCCCCGCGCAGGCGCTGTGAGTAGTCTAGCTTTGTTTATGTTTGAGTGAACACTAACCTGCGCTCTCATTCACGCATTTTACGATTATTTCGTTGTGTTTAGTGCTTGTGGGACTGTGAAATAAGGGCTCCATGGCCCAAAGAAACTTGCTAATGGTACCCTTGTGGTAAAGAAAGTGAGAAACCCATAGATGTGAAAAAAGGAAATAATCAAAAGTAATGAGAGGGGGTGTGAGACTTGTTGAGCTTCCCAGGATGTATGGAAAAACAAGTCGACCAATCGGTCTATCCTGTCAAAGAAGAACAAATCAAGAACTGATGTTGCGAAAGGTGTTAATATGCTAACCAAAAAAAGACCACAAATAGTTGAAGAGGTTGAGAAGTTGTTGTGGTGTGGATCAAGGATAAAGAGGATTGCAGGTGATAATGTTTCAGAGACGATTATTTGCGAAAAAGGCAAGAAGTTGCATGCCGATCTGGTACAGAAAACTCTGGAACCAGTGCTGATAGTGAATTTAAGGCTAGCAGAGGCTGGTTTGACAGATTTAAGAAGCGTAGTGGCATACACAATGTTGTAAGACATGGTGAGGCAGCCAGTTCAGACAAACGGGCAGCTGAGAAGTTTGTACAGGAGTTTAAGGGGTACATAGACAGTGAAGAATTGAAACCTGAACAAGTGTTTAATTGTGATGAAACAGGCTTGTTTTGGAAGAAAATGCCAAAGAGGACCTCATCACACAGGAGGAAAAGGCACTGCCAGGACACAAGCCTATGAAAGACAGGCTTACTCTTTTGTTCTGTGCTAATGCTAGTGGTGATTTTAAAGTGAAGCCTTTACTTGTGTATCATTCAGAAAATCCCAGAGTGTTTAAGAAAAAACAATGTCTTTAACCCTTTGACTGTCGCAACCCCCAATCCTGAGGTGTCTCCTGGTGTCGCAAAATTTAAACAAAAAAAAAAAAAATTTTCTTATGAAATGATAGAGAATCTTTTCCCGATTTGTAATGACACCAAAAAAAAAAACGAAATTTGATGGAAAAGCTGACGGAATATTACTCTTGCGAAGTTAGCGACCTCGGCGCTGTTTACAAATAGGCGATTTTTCGCCCACTTTGAGCCCTATTTTCGGCTAATTGCATTGTTCCAGTCGCCGAAACTCATAGCTATTTCTTTAGAACTCCATTTTTTCTATCGACTGAGTACAAGAAACTGCTCATTTACCGATTTCAACTACCTAATAATGTGGTCAGAAATTTGCAATTTGGCCAATTTCACGAAAACTAAAAAATATGACAATTTCAAAATAAGGTCCAGAATGAACAATGCAGACATTCCTGGCTCTACAATAACATTTTCTTTGTTCATCAGTCATATCTAGGCCCCTCTGATATTACTCTTGCTTTCTATTTGAATTTGTATTCAAACAAAAATAGAAGACTTACTATTATGCAGACTACTGCAATACTGTAATAATTGTATAAATAACATCAACCCATTCATTACTGCATATTAGAATGGCTAGTTGGGACATTTATTGCACAATGGCATCATTTGTTTACTTTTGATCATTGGCAAAATCAAACATTTTCCCCTACTTTGAGCTCCATTTCTAGGTTCTTTTTATAGTAAAAGCAATCAAAATCACCTTATTTCTATAATATGTTTTCCATTCTATCAATGAGGCCAAGAAAACGAGAATACAACCATAAATACTATACGAAAATAGACCACAAGGTCGCATTTGAATTACAAAAAAACGTCGGAGTTTTTTTTCTCATTATGCACTGCGTGCTCCAGGATTTTTTTTATATGGTGCACACTGACCACACAGACCCATTCTCTCACATGGGGGGCCTACCAGCTTTCTCCTGCTTGATTTGAAGCCGCTAGAATTTGAGTATATATACGTCAAACACGGTACCTCGTTAAGACGTATATATACGGCCGCGACAGTCAAAGGGTTTTAAGAACAAATTATGTGTCTTGTGGAAAGCTAATCGTAAGGCATGGGTCACAAGACAAATTTTCAAAGAGTGGGTCCATGAAGTGTTTGGCCCCAGTCCTAGTGGCATTAAAAGACAGAGAAGGGAAGTAACCCAGAGAGGGCTTTACCCGAAGTCCTCATGGAGGGGGATTCTCCTTCCAAACACTAACCCCACTCCCTCTCTCCTCCTCCCTATCTTCCAATGCCATCACCAATCTTCAATAAAGGTAAAAATGTTATTTTATGTGTTTACTATACATTTAAATTTAAATAAACTATAGTATTTGTTGTATGTAAAACTGTAATTATTTTCATAAAATGTATTTTTTGTTGTGAATATTTTTGGGTTTCTGGAACGGATTAATTTTATTTCCATTATTTCTTGTGGGAAAATATTGCTTCAAATTTCCGACTTTTCGAATTTAGAACTAGCTCCTGGAAAAGGATTAAGTTCGATTTTTGAGGTTCCACTGTATACTTAATGGTAACACAAGGGATGGCTAGGGGACGTTTATACCATGTGTTGCTTACACGGCTGTTTTTGCGGAACTTAATATTTTGGTCTTAATTGCCCCCGTGATACCCGAAACAATGAGTGTGGGTTTAGTAATCATTCATAGTATATTTTTCATTTCAAAATTCACCTTTTAAAAAAAGTATCAAACTTTAGTTATTTTTATATTTTAATTTTTTAATTTTATGATTGGGTTTATGTGTAGCATGGGCTGTTATTTGTATTTATTTTTGTTTGTGTTAAATTTTGATTTTATTTTAAAAGATTGCGTGACGTGTTAGAGAGGGCGAATGGAGACAAATGTTTTTTAGGACTTGACATGCTGTTGGGGTGTGTGCAAGGTAACATTTACGAAGGGATTCAGGAGACCCGCAGGCTGGACTTGAGTCCTGGAGAAGCGAAGTACAGTGTCTGCACTCTGAAGGGGGGGTGTTAAGTTGCAGTTTTATAACTGTAGTGTAAGCACGCCTCTGGCAAGACAGTGATGGAATGAATGACGATAAACGTTTTTCTTTTTCGGGCCACCCTGCCTTGGTGGGAGATGGCCGTTGTGTTAATAAAAAAAAAATTTTGGGGGATAAAAATTTGGTTTTTAATATATGTTCCTTAGATTCTGCCAATAATTTTTAAATTATTTTCACCTACAGATTGTAAAGCAGTATTTAAAATTTTGCTTATTAGTTCAGCATCAAAAAATTTAACAGTACACTATTCAGTGGAACCTTGACTTATGAGTTTAATTCGTTCAAGGAGCTGATCGTTAACTCAATTTACTCGTGTATCAAATTAATTTTCCTTGTTTAAATTAACTGAAAAAGCCATTAATCCGTTCCTGCAATCTGGAGAGACGAGAAAAAATTTCTTGAATATGAGGCTATTATCAACTGTATAGCTTATTTATCTATCACAATTCATCTAAATGACATAATAAACTATAAAATTAACCCTTTCAGGGTTTTGGCCGTACTAGTACGGCTTACGCACCAGGGTTTTTGACGTACTAGTACTCCTAAATTTAGCGCCCTCAAATCTAGTGAGAGAAAGCTGGAGGGCCTACATATGAAATTTCTCGAGAGGGCCTGGCGACCCTGAAAGGGTTAACAAAGAGACATGATATATACTCTAGAATGAATAAAATGGGCCCAAAATATGGTGGCAAAAGGCAGTATGGGGGAAAGAATCCGCTATTTCCTGTCCAAACTTTGACTATATGTATCTTCCCATGCTCCTTATTATAAGAGAAAACAGAATTTTTTTTAGGCTAACTGCAGTAGATCACTGTTTTCTATGGAAAAACACTAAAAATATCGTATATAAACACATATAAATCATATTACACTACAGAATGTAAAGAAATAATAAACTGTTTATATAATTATGAAAGTGTGTGTAAAGGTTAGAACGTTGAAAGTGAACTTTAGAAAAGAGTTAAGGTGATGAGAGTATCAAATGATTTAGATAAAGAAAAATTGGATATCAAATTGGGGAGGGGGAGCAGGGAAGAAGTGAATGTTTTCAAAATATTTGGGGGTTGAGTGCAGTGGATGGATTTATGAAGGATGAGGTTTTAAACATAGGGAAATTTATGGGAAAGGGAAAAGTGTGAGTGGTGCATTGAGGTATATGTGGAGGCAAAAGATGTTATCTATGGAGGGCAAAGAAAGGAATGTATGAAAAGTATAGTAGTACCAACACTCTTATATGAGTGTGAAGCTTGGGTTGTAAATGCTGCAGCAAGGAGGTGGGTTTGGGGGCAGTGGAGAAAGTCCTGTCTAAGGGCAATTTTTGTGGTGTAAATATTTTGCAGAAAATTCGAGGGTGTGGAAATTAGGAGAAAGTGTGGAGTTAATAATAGTATTAGTCAGGGGCTGAAGAGGGTTTGTTGAGGTGGTTTGGTCATTTAGAGAAATGGATCAAAGTAGAATGACATGGAGAGTGTATAAATCTGTAGGGGAAGGACGGCGGGTTATGGGTCATCCTCGAAAAGGTTGGAGGGAGGGGGTAAGGAGGTGTTGTGGGCGGGGTTTGGATTCAGCAAACTTGCGTGAGCTGTTGGTAGGAGTGAATGGGACAATGGGATTTGGAACCTGACGGTGTTTGGGGTAGAGCAGGGTAGTATTTTGCAAGGGATTCAGGGAAACCGGTTATTTTATATAACCGGACTTGAGTCCTGGAAATGGGAAGTACAATGCCTGCACTTAATGGAGGGGTTTTGGGAAAATTGGCAGTTTGGGGGGATATATTGTGTAATTTTTATAGACAGTGGACCCCGGTGTAACGAACTTTTTTCATTCCAGTAGTATGTTCAGGTGGCAGAAATGCGAATTTTTCCATAAGGATTTGGGAAAAGTAGATTAGCCATTTCAGACCCCAAACTTACACGTACAAACGCACTTACATAAATACACTTACATAATTGGTCGCATTTGGAGGTGATCGTTAAGCGGGGGTCCACTGTATATGTATACTTCTAAACTGTTGTATTCTGGGCACCTTGCAAAAGCATTGATTATGTGTGAGTGAGGTGAAAGTGTTGAATGATGTGAAAGTATTTTCTTTTTTGGGGTTTTTCTTTCTTTTTTTTGGGTCACCTGCCTCGATGGAGATGGCCGGGCTTGTTGAAAAAAGAAAATTGTTTATATAAAGTGAAGGGATTCAGGGAAACCGTTTATTTTTATATTTTCGGACTTGAATCCTGGAAATGGTAAGTACAATGCCTGCACTCTAAAGGAGGGGTTTGTGATTTGGCAGTTTGGAGGGATATGTTGTGTATCTTTATACGTATATGCTTCTAAACTGTGTATTCTGAGCACCTCTGCAAAAAGCATTGATTATGTGTGAGTGAGGTGAAAGTGTTGAATGATGATGAAAGTATTTTCTTTTTGGGGATTTTTTTTCTTTTTGGCTCACCCTGCCTCGGTGGGAGACGGTCAAAGTGTTAAAAAAAAAAAAAAGAAAAAAAAAGTGTATATGTACTTACACACTTAGAGCAGAGATGGTGGTGGAGGTTGAGTGTGGGGAGTTTGAGCGTAGGGAGGTTGAGGGTGGGAGATTCGCAGTGTGGCGTTATGATGTTAGTGGCCCTGTAAACCTCCAACAACAACATTGTTTTGTTTCATCATGAACTTAACTCTTAAAATTTGTTTTATCACTTAACTGATACAGTTTTTGTTAAATCACTGAATATAACTGATATAATTTTTATTTTGTTAAATCACTGAACATAACTGATATAATTTTTTTTGTTTAACTTTTCATTCTTTCACTTGTCCTTACTTTTCACTGCCTCGTGCCTTCTCACTGATGTACCCTCAGTCACGGTTTCTCCTGTGAGCTGCTTCTCTCTCAACCACGTCAGCAGCAGCTTCTGCATCTTTTCATGGACAGAGGTCCGCAGCTTAGACGTTACTGTAACGCCCTTGGCTAAACTCTATATTTCTTTATCGACTCCTGCTGCTTTAGTATCGTACGTGTAGTAGATGTACTTCGCTGGTATTGTCTGGCTAAATCCAAACTCGTGCACCTTGTTATGTTTATCTATGATTTCATGCTTTATTTCCATGGAAATCGTTGTCTTTTTCTTCTCAGCTGTCCTTTGCACTTATTTTTAGGACCATGGTTAGAAAAAATGAAATTTGGGCCAAACTACTGTCAAAAATGTAAGCAAAGCAGGAGAGAACTGCTCCCACAGCAGTGTAAACATGTACTTTCTTACCGGTGTTTTGAAAATAAGCTGCGCCAACTAGCGGCAGCATTTTAATTATTATGTACGTATTATGTACATAAAACGTACGTAATTGTAATAATGATTCTTATAATTATTATGATAATTTAGGGAATGAAGCTCTATTGTTGTTATAATAATTATTTTTATTATTATTATTATTATTAATTTAGGGAACTGGAGCACATATCCAATTCCCCTGATCAAGAGCCCCTCAACAGTGTCAAGGAACCCTTTATGCTGGTGAGGGGGCTTTAGTTCCCTTTTTTTTTTTTTTTTTTAAGTCGGCCGTTCTCCCACACGAGGCAGGGTGACCCAAAAAGAAAGAAAATCCCCAAAAAGAAATACTTTCATCATCATTCAACACTTTCACCTCATTCACGTTTTAATCACTGTTTTGCAGAGGTGCCCAGAATAAACAGTTTTGAAGTACATTCGTTAAAAAAATACACATTTTATCCCTCCAAACTGCTAATCTAAAACCCCCCCTTTTGAGTGCAGGATTATTTCCCTTTCCAGGACTAAACCGGTTATACAGTGGACCCCCCCCCCTTCGATCAGCTTCCACGCACCAATTAGTAAGTTTATTTATGTTAAATGCTTTTGTCTTATATTTTTGGGGGTCTGAAAGGACTAACTAATTCACAATTTTCCCTTAGGGGAACAAATTCGTTGGGTTTACGGCACCTGAACATACTTCTGGAATGAAATATATCGTAAGGCGGGGGTCCCTGTATAAAATAACTATTTTCCCTGAACCCCTTTCACTAATATTACCCTGCCAACCCCAAACAGATCGCGGGGCCCCAAGTCCCATTGTCCCATTCACTCCTATCAAAGCTCACGCCGCTTGTGGAAGCCAAGCCCCCGCCCACAAAACCTCCTTTACCCCCTCTCCAAACTCTTTCGAGGCGCCCCCTACCCCCCCTTCCCTTTCCCCCTACGATTTATATGTTTTCCCTTATTTACTTTGATCCATTCTTTCTAAATGCCCAAACCACCTCAACAACCCCTCTTTGCCCCTGACAATACTTTTTTTAACCCCAAAACCTTTTCCTAATTTCCACACTCCGAATTTTCTGCATTTTAGTTTTTACCCCACACATTGCAAAAAACCCCATTATACCACCTCAATACTATCACAACCACAACCTCTTCCCCCTCACAATCACTAGCACCCCCATTTTGTATTTTTCTACAATCTTTTTTTTTTTAATTCTATCATGTTTTCCCTTTTTTACCAAAGGGGGGGTTAGCTTATTTTCAGCTTATGGTGCTTATTTAGCTTTTAAAGCACAAAAAAGGAATGGATATTAAAAAAATGTACGTTTGAAATGCCTGGGATGTGCTATTCGCGATAAAACAAGGGGGACACGACGTGGCCGCGTCTGGGACAACGACTTTTTGCAAGTCAAACGGATTCACGAGTAATTTTTGACGAAAAAATTTTAGGGTTTTTTTGAAAATTCACTTCTGATGTACGAAAACGAGTGTCCGCTGTAATTTTTGTGTAAGTGCCCCTCGGGCAAACTTTTGAGGGTGGAATGATGAGAAATTTTTTTCTTTTTTGGGTCCCCCTCCCTTTCTGGGAGAAGGGTGATGTTTTAATAAAAAATCTGGGTTTTCTTCTATTTTTTTTAAATTTTTTCTTTTTATTTCCTCTTTTCTGAAAGGGGGAAGGGGAAAGGGAAAATTTTTCCCTCTGCCACCCATGCTGTCAAAAGAGGAGACTAAAAACCCGGAGCAAGGGGCTAGTCCCCCCTTCTGTAAAAATTACAAAATTTAAAAAAGGTTTTTTGTTTTTCTTTTAGGCCCCCTCCCTTGGGGGATGGGGCCCGTTTTATTTAAAAAAAATTCTTTGTTATTAACCTAGGAAAACAAGGATTGTTTAGATGTTTGGTCACCCGAATTTATGAAGCTAGATAAGTTAATAAGGGGAGTTTTAAAAAATAGTGTGTTGCAAAGTGGTGTGATGCGTGGTTCATGGGGTTTTATGTAAAATTCTGTTGGGGGTAATCAAAATAATATTTGTGGGGGGATTCAGGGAAATGATGTACTGAAATCTGTTCTTTAAAATAGGAAGCAGTATCCCTTTGGGGAAGAATGAGAGGTTTATTTTAACAATTAAATTGTGGGTACTAGCATTTCTGAAAGACGCTAGGGGGCAATGGGGGTGAATGTTTTTCCCTTTTTCAGGCCTGTATAACCCTACGTGTTTAGCGTTCCCCCCATGATTATAAAATTTCCCTCCCCAGGTCATTTGCCTTGTGGGAAGATTACAAATTTTTTTTCAATCCACTGTTTTGATTATACTACACGCTTTAATTTTTTTTTTTATAGGTACAAAAAATTTGGAACACACTGGTTATCCGTGCCAGAAATTGTTGAACAAAATCAGTGACCTGGGGAACCCCAGGATTCTTCCTCCCCATCTCCAAAAGCAGTCAACTGGTTGAAAGTTCCTAAAACATTTTTTTTGAGTTAAATTTTGTCATAAAGTAGAGAGGGCATTTACCTTTTTTTTCTTTCATTAATGCAAGTGGTGGGAAGGAAGCACTTACCAGTTTTTGCAACATGCAACTAACAAAAATAATACCCATCTAGGGTTTTTTAAAGATGAAAATTCATTTTTTAATTTTCTTTTTCACTTTTCTCGTTTTGTTTTTTTTTGTCTTTTTTTTATTTATAAGTGGTACTGGAAAAGGTTTTTTTTTTTTTTTTTTTTTAGCCTCACAATTGTTGGGTTGACAGTGGCATAAACTGACAAGTGGTATTTTCAGGATATTTTTAGCTTGAAAACCCGTACATATGCATTTCAGTCAATGGGATTATCAAGGCACAAAAAAAAGCAGATTTTTTGTTATTTTTCTTTTGTGATAAAATCCCACTATGAGTGCGTGTTGTATAATAAAGGTTTCTGCTAAAATTCTTAAAAATACTTCATATTGTTGTTGAAATAAGTACAAATCCCACAGCTGGAACAGTTCACTGAGTCTTTACTTGGTTGTGACTTGAAAAATTCCCTGAGGATAAATTGAAACTTTGTCAAAATTTTCCTCTCCATTTTGGTTAGCTGCAACTTCATGATTGTAGAGTGGGTAGTAAACATTATAGTCCTCTGGAATTGTGGTTTAAAAGATTAAAATAAAATCAAAAAATTTGAAGGAGAGAATACTTGGGGAAAATATTTATTTCATGTGGAATTTTTATTTGTTGAGCCCAAATTTAAAACCAGTGCCATAGGTTTTTTTTGTACTTTTTTTTTTATTTTATATTAAAGACTTTGCTTCTTACAAGCAAAAAAAAAAGTAAGAGTTTTAAAGCACTTAAATGCAAAGCATTTAAACTTTTTTTTTCCCAAAGCCAAATGATAAAAAAATTTTTACATAATAAAATTTTTCCATTTTTGTTTTTTGTTTTTTTGCCAAAAAATTTCAACGAAAAAGGGTAATCTAAAACAGTTCTTTTTGGTTCCATATTCACTTGAATTTTTTTTAAAGGGAGTTGCATATCTAAATGCTAGAGGCATTGCTGGGTTTTGGGGTTACCCGGGGCGGGATCTTTGGGGTCACCCCCCTGAAAACCAAGGGGGGGGTGGAGTAACCCATTACGTCATACTTTTATGACCCGTTTAAAAAGTTTAACAATGAAAGTTTAAGGGCCATAAACTTAACAGAAGTACTTCTCAACTTTTTTAATGTAAAAAAAAATGGTAAATTGAAGAAAATAAACTCAAATATACTTTTGGGTACAGCTACACATCCTACATTTATTATTTTTCAACAATCCAAAAAAAAAAAACTTGAAAAATAAGAAAAAATTGCAATTCAAGAAAATAGTTTTTGATCGGACCTTTAGTCGGTAACTTCGTGAAACGTCATGGGATTCCTTGCCTTCAAACCTGCAAAATCATCTATCACCTATCAAAAACAATGCTGTCAACGACCCCTTTCTATGGATAAAATTTTTTGTATGCAAAGATTCTGGACAACTCATTTTTTGGACTTAAATAGTTTTTTTAAACAGCTTCAACTTGGAGAAAAACCTTTCCCCAGAAGCCACAAAAAAAACATAGTAAGGGAAAAACCCCAGGGCAGAGTGCAGAGTTGAAAGATTTAAAAAAATCCCCCTTCAACTATGAATGTTAGTACTCCAGTGTAGTCCAGTGCTTAACTTTTTCAAGTCAACCAGCAATTGCAGGTGCCTCCTTAGCTTGGTATTTCAAGATGGCTCATTCTTGTATATTTCATTATAGAAGACTGTGAGTTCGAACCATCTCCTCCAATTCTTCTTCGTAGCTTGTACAAGTTTCTTTTTTTGAATGACCCAACATGGCTGCCACATCCTTGATTGCTTTTGATCGTATTCAGTTCATTTGTAACGATCAATGCACCCCATCATCCCCCTCTTGTTTTTTTCCCTGTAGAGTGAGTGGGAAAATCTTTTGCTTGCTCCCCTGCCATCCTTTTTTTTAAACCCTGTTTTCTTCTTTCTTTGGAAATCCTACTTCTACATTTTGAAGTGCCTGTTGTATTAAAATTTTTCCCTAGCAATCTCGCCCCTTTATTCAAAAAAAACCGCAAATGCCTCTAGCTTCACCACCACTTAGTCAAGAGTTAAATCCTTAGCTGCAAGTACTGCTGTGGGAAGCTGAACCCCCCGAAGTATGTCACATAGAAATGCAGATAACACAGAAATGTGAAATCGCACACGAGGGGGAAAAACCTTGTTGCTCCTTTTTGTATCCCCAATTTTTCCCCTGGATCGCAAAGGTTTCAAATTCTACCCCAAAATTTTCGAAAGATTCTTCTACTGGTTTCACTGCATTGTAATGAGAAATCCCCTCGGTTGTTGATAATCCTTTCGAAAAAGACTGCAGTTGGTCCATTAATATCCCCTCGATGGGTGGGGGAGCAAAGAATGTATAGCTGTCTCAAGACGCCCAAAAAAATTTTACACATGATAAATTTCGGCAAAAAATGCTGACCACACAAGTTCAATTAATGTCCACACAGCACTGAAAATTCCTTCTTATTCTTTTCTTTAACCCTTTGGGGGGTTTGGGCCGTCTAGTCAGCTTACGCCCCAGGGTTTTTTTTACGTACTAATACGCCAAATTCTAGGCCCTCAAATCTAGTGAGGAAAGTGGGAGGCCTGCATATGAAAGAATGGGTCTATGTGGTCAGTGTGCGCAGTATAAAAAAAATCCCGCAGCAATAGTGCGTAATGGAAAAAAAAAGACATGTTTTTGGATTTTTAAACAGCGATTGCACTGATTTTTGTTGGGTTTTTTTTTATTGTATTCTGTTTTTTTGGTTCATTTTTTTAGAATGGAAGACATATTACAGAAATTGAGATGATTTTTTATGGTTTTACAAAGAAAAGTACCTTGAAATTTAGCTCAGAGTAGCAGAAATGTTCGATTTTTTTGAAATTCAAAAGTAAACAAATCATGCCAAACGTCCAAAACACGTCAACTGGTGAGTCTAATATTCTTTCACAAGTGTGCTGATATTATTATACATTTCTAAACTAATGCAATAGTCTGCATAACAGTAAATCTTCTATTTTTTGTAAGAATAAAAATTCAAAGGGGAAAAGCCAAAGAAATATAAGAGGGGCCTGGGGTTTTTACCGACGAACAGAGAACTTGTTATTTTAGTGCCGGGAAATGTCTTTCTTGTTAATTCTGGACCCTATTCGGAAATTGGCATCTTTTGAAAATTTTCGAGAATTGGCAAAATTGCAAAAATTTTGACCAATTTATTGGAATTGTTTGAAATCGGTAAATGGGTGGTTACTTGTACTCTTTTGATAGAAAAATGGGAGTTCTAGCGAAATAGTTATGATTTTTGTCGACTAGTTTCATTGGATTGGCCGAAAATAGGGGTCAAAGTGGCAAATCGCCTATGCGTAACATCGTTGAGACTGCTAACTTTGCAGAGCATAATTCTGTAAGTTTTCCATCAAAAATTTCATACTTTTGGTTACCATTATGATCAGGAAAAGATTCTCTCTTTTCATAAGAAAAAAAAATAATTTTTTTTTTTTTTTTTTTTTTTTTTTTTTTTTGAAATTTTGGCGACCCTGAGAAAAAGTCTCTGAGAGGGCCTAGCAACCCCCAAAGGGTTAAGAATGGCTTGTACACCTCCATGGACCCCAGCCATGGTGGAGCATTGTCATTTTCCCTGAGCACGGCACAGCATGAAGTCCAGTTTCCCTCACTTTCCAGCTTTTTCAGGATATCAGAACTGATACAGCGACTTTTTTGCCCTTCAAAGGAAAAAAAACAAGAAAAACTTCCTTCACTTGAAAATCTTCCATCCTCCATTTGCATTACCTGATAACTTCTGACATTTGGTCAATGTGTGTCACTTTAGGTGTACTGTCAAACATAACGCTGTAGTATACAGCTCTTGATATCAGTAACGAGTTTCTCTTTTAAACTCAATTTGCTAAAACATTTTAAAAATCATTTTGAGTTGGTGAGAAATATGAAACTGATGACCTTGTTCACTTGAGCTGCACTTCAGTCTCATTAGGTGCTGTTTTAGCACAGGATCATATTTTGCTATTAATTCAACCATCTCAAGAAAGTTTCCTCTATTTGATGAGAATTGTCCTCCCTGTGGCCGCGAAATGCTAAGTTTGTTTAGCCAGAAACGTGTAATGTCAAGCAGCCTGGACAATATTTCCTTCCACCTTTTCTTCTGGATTTCCATTGAACAATTATTTCTGCATCTAGGGTTTTTTTTTCACCCTTAAACCGGTTGCCATGGTTTTCCAATTCTCGAGGCAACTTAGGTGTTCATCAGAAGTTTCATGATTGTGGGACTTTTGGGTTCAGCTTCCACCATATTTGAAACCCAGTCACAAACTTGGATGTTATACTTGTAACACTAGAGGTAAAAACAATTACAGCAGAAAAACAGTATAATTTCCCACTGACTGGCGAGTATACCATCCATGATCGCAAAACTTTCTCACCATTCTGCATCTGTTTGTAGAACCATTCTTTAGAAAGCTGATGCTCATCACCTTTTGCATTTTTTCTCTTTGTAACATGAAAGGGCCATCCTTGTTCTGATAAACGTACTACCTCTTTTGATGATTTCAATCCTGGAAAGGTCTGGAACTGGAATTTTCAGAAGAAACGTCCACTTCGATGCTAACTCTCGCAGACTCTCATTCCCTTCATTCCTGTCGTTATATTACCATTGTCGGTGTTCAGAATCGATATCAGTGTTATCAGTAAGATTATGACTAAAATTCATTTGATAAACTCAGGTCATTATCGGATTTCTTGAGATACTGAACCATAGTCCCAGCCATTTTTTTAACTTTTTCATTTTTTGCTTTCCTTTGTTGACATCCACTAGGCCTCTTCAATTAATGCATTCCATGAGGCATGATATTATATCAATGATCTGAAAAAAGAATGCCAGGTTCACCGTTTTGGTTCTACTGAATATTCGGTAATTTTTAATGGTGACAAAGAAATAAATGGTGCAATTCTATTATCCTACTGAGGATGAAATGAAGTTAGGAAACGAAATAAGGTGGGTTAAGTTCAGATGAAATTAAGACTAACGATTAATAACTGTTGTTTCATTGATTGCATTAATTTTTTCACTAGAACCTAATTTGGATGTTTAACTCAGACTAACCAGAATGAGAGCAAAGCAGAAAAAATTAAGCCTACTTTCCAATGAATTGGAAAAAAATACTCATAATGGTCATTAGGATGTAATATTAATGTGTACCATATTATTTGGTAAGCCTCCTGGCCCTATAGGCTTTACTCCACAAGGATTGGTAACAACGATGCATGGTTAAAATGGATATCAATAAATAACAAAAAGCACAATCCATGACTGGAGCAATACACAAAATAACCCGCACACAGGAGAGAGGAGCTTACGTCATGTTTCAGTCCGACTTAGACCATTTACAAAGTCACACTAACAAAAAGCAGAGGAAGAGGCAGTATATATAGGCCAACAGACAGGGACGGGACAAGAGAGGCAGTAGGAAAGGAGGAAGAGAGGTAGTAGTAGTATAGTGGAGTGAGTTAAATACTAAGAAAGAGGAGCACTGCAGGGAGCTAGGGGCCCACAAAAGGTAGGAAAACAAAAACACTGAGGGAGTGGGGGAAATAATAATGGACCAAATACCCAAGGCAGAAGAAAGAAAACCCAAAGGAGGAGGAGGAAAAAAGAATCAGGTTAAGTCACGGGTGTTCTGAAGTTTGGAGCATTTTACAATGTAATGAGAAAGGAAGGCATCTACAGAGACGAAGCCAGGACTAAGATTCATACAAAGAAAGGTAGGTAAGACACATAGGCAACAGATAGTTCCAGACTATGGAACAGGACATCTCCAGGCTGAGGACTGACAACCTCAAATCTACGACTTCAAGGGTGATGGACTGATTACATCATCATCACATCTCTACTGCTCCTGCCTAATTTCTGCACTCGACTGAAGAAGCCTACTGTGTAGGCAAAACGTTTTGGAATAAAGTTGCCTAACTGTTGCCTATGTGTCTTTACCTACCAACCCTGTCGGTTTGTATACCATTTTGATATTGACTCATACAAGGAAAGTTGTGTATGTAGATGACATCTTTGCTCTTTGGCCTGATGACTCTAGCCACTGTGTGGCTTCATCAGTACAATACAAAGTGGGCCAACAGGCTGTTGCAGTGTTCCTCCTTTCTTATGTTCTTATGTTGTATAAGTGTCTCAATCTTAAGTGGGAATCTAATTCCTTGCTTCCTTTCCTTGATGTTAAAATCCACCTCTCAGATACAGGTTTCAGTTTTTCCATGTAGCACAAGCCTATGCACAGTGGCATATAATTCACTACTGTGAAAATGGTTTGAAAACTGACAAGTTGAAGATTGAGACACCTTCGGGAATCATTATTAAGGAAACGTTTCGCCACCAATGGCTTCTTCAGTCCCAAAACAAGTAGAGAGGGGCCCGCGTTTAAATTTCCCGGAACTTTGTAAGCTGAACAAAAAAATACATGGACACAAAAGGTTTATATATAGGCTTTGAATGAGGTGGTTAGTACAAGTAGAGTAGTAGTAGTTGTAGTTGTTCTTTATACATGTGGTGGAAAAAACTTTGGGTAGGGGTAGTTTTTTAAGGACCTGCCTTGTATTGGTCCAGTAGGCCTTCTGCAGTGTTCCTCCATTCTTATGTTCTTACTACCACGGTTATTTCAAACATTTCATGAATATCAGTTCTCACCCGTTCATATACATGTATCTTGATTCATGAACATGATGATATCACCAATTTAAACAAAGATAAAGCTCAAAATATGATAATTACCTGACCCTTTGTCGTTTAACCAGCCCCTTTTACACC